AAATATATAGGATGATTAAAAGGCAATAACTAATACAATCAAGTTCTTGCTCATACATACGCTTCCACAGCACGTAGCATCTTCAAAGTCTATATCAACCACATATTATAGTTCTCTATACCTACTTAGTGTTTTAAAAGGAAGTAGTACGCGCGCCTAGGTGTATAATTGACCGTCTCTTTTATTCATGATTCATTGGTGGGCACTGTAGATGAGGTTCAGCCTGTTCATGGCGGACATTAAGTAGTATGGTGAACAAACGTAAAGCCGCAAATGAAGATCACAAGAAAATTTGCTCAAAAAACAAATATTATCTAAAAAAATGGATCTGAGTGCCTTTCTTGGCTGACATTAAAAGAGAGAATTGAACATCATTTCATAGATCGTTTGGTTTGAAAAAGGTCAAAAGATTTGATTTCAGAGCTTCTATACAGGGCTTCAGAAAAAGCGATTGTTGGAGACCTCGCCTATTTATAGACCGAGTAGGCGCGTCGGGATTTTAGGATTGACGCTGGGCTCGCCCTTTTATGTAAARGTACACCATTCAGCATACTCTAAATTAAACTACACAAGATTAGATCAGAAACTATCATACCTTGAAATTMTTCTTCTCTTAAATAGATAGAGTTAAAAAGAGTTTAGACGAATCGAAAGAGATTGCAGGTGCCTTTCTTGTATAAGAAAGATTGAGGCAGTCTCTCTTGTTACGATATATGTGTTTTGACTGTTTTGTCCCGAGGGGAAGTGGGTAGGGACCCACCTCTGGTACAGACATAACGCTTGGCGTACGGGAGTCTAAACCGCTGATCAATCTTGCACAGGTTAAAAAAAATTTCCCACGTTKACCAAAGTGTGTAAATAAATTCAGTGATTGTATTGTCATTTGTCATTGCTAACATGTTGTTTTAAGAGTATTTTTTCAAATATAACTCAATGTTCTATTTGGCAAGATCGTTTTATCTTGCTTGTACTAATAATCATTCAAAATTTGATGGTTCCATATTATCAAATGAAGCAGATTGTACGGAAAACGTGTGTGCATAGCATGAGACAACGCTTCCCGCTAGAATTTGTTCATCCGTTAATTATCAAACACCCACAAACCACCGAATACTTCCAAACATAATTATCCTTTGTAGGTGACCTTAAACGCTAAAGTAAACAMCAAAATGCCGAAAATCAAGACTAATCAACCAACCCAGTTAGTCAATATAGTAAAACTTCATTTGGCCCGTTATACACATGTTTTCATAAAATTATTTAGGCTAATTTCGAGGTTTTGTAAAACTTAGGTCACTGAAGATGTGGGCAGCAAAAGTTTTTAGTCCCCGCATTTTWAAAAATTTGTCATATAATTCTCTCCGTATTCTTCTCAGGGAGCTTTTCGCCAGATAATTAAATTCTGTCTGTTTTAATTARAGAATTTACCGATGAGGATTTGGTAATTCAAAGTACGAAAACATCTTAAAACATCTGTTGGAAACTATAGGAAGGATATGGAGAGTCTGACGAACGAAGATAAAAAACTGGACCAGCTTTTTTTCAATATGCAAGAACGTGTTGAAATGTTCACTTGCTATAAAGAAAATTTCTTTGAACCTCAGCGATTGAGCTCCTACATTAATTTTTCAGAACTGGTCACCTCCGTTACTATCTTAGCTCTTCACATCTTATTGTGTTTGATAACATCATTGAGTTGTTTTGGTTTAATGATTTTTGTATTCTAACCTTCCTTGATTGGCTGTGCCGTTTAAAGAATAACCTAAAACCAGTGAATACGTCCAAGAAAACGTTTTCTTTGTTTGCTTTGTTTTATGGGATTATTTTTCTTCTTGTTAAGATCTATATATACCGACAAGGCTGAATAACAAAATGTATCATATAAAATGCGCTAAACCGGCGAAGCAGGTGTTTCTCAGATTGAGCTAAATTACAAAATATTGACTAGTAAGATAACTTTATTGGCGTCCCATTATACATCCCTCATAGAGGCCGGCAGACCAAATAATGAACTATACAAAATACGAATGCTTTGCATGTATTAAAAAAAAACTCAACTTGTGTTGAACTGACGTGTTGGCGAAGAATTCCTAATATTTTGTTTAGCTATTTCAAATTTTTTCCAAAGAAGAAAAAACATCTTTAGGAAATAATCCAGGGTAATAAATAATGTTTGCTTTTGGCGATCTTTTTCACCAGACATAACTAAAGTTAATAACCCTTTYCTTGAAAAATAACGTAGAAGTGGAAGTAGGCTATTATTTTGCACGCTATCTAACGTTTAAAAACATCCAACGCCTGAAACGCTTGAAAGAACATTTGGACATTTCTCCGATTTATATATTTTTTAAAAATCTGTAAATTTGTTTTTTGATGTGTTGATGTGAGATGCGTTGGGCATTATATTATATATTATATTTTTCTAGACTAAAATCGCAAGGAAAAATAGGTAGCCGACTAGCAACTCAATGGCGAGGAATTAATTCAAGGTCGTCTAAAAAAAACAAAAAAAAAAAAAAACAAAAAAAACACGAAAACTAGTATAGCGGAGTTGTCGCTCTCTGTATACAAGAAAAATTGAATAGAATATAGATAGATAATACTTGAAAAACATAAATCTCTTGTTACCTACTTGCGTTCTTGCAATCAATGTACAGATTTTTGTGATGTACCAGGGAGGATTAAGCCAAGTTAAGACGTACAGTGAGCGACCGTACCTTGAGCGAATGACTCAAGCAACACTTGCAGCGACTCTTTATAGATACCATATCATTAACACTAGGCGATAAGCTTATCGCAATGCATTCACTCCCAAAAACTATCAAATAAAGGGGGAAGAAGATAAGCCGGATAAAACTTTTTGTAAAGAGTCGGTATCGCGCGCGTGGTGAAGTAAAGGGGATTATAGAAGAACGTTGACAAGATGTAATAGATGCTGCGTTCGCCAAAAGAGACAATACACGAGTAAACGACTAAAGAATCGTCGTGAACGAAAAAGAAGTCAAAACTTTGTTCATTTTAGGGCGTGCTGGATGCTGGCGGAAGTCAAAACACAATGCAAAAATCCACTAAATCTTTATGTGTATATCTGTATATTGTAAAGTGACACGTCTTTGTTTTAATAAAGTATTTAGTATTTATACCAGTGGTGACACCTAACCTAATAAGTACATAATACGTCATAAGCAAAGGGCTAAAAATAGATGGATACGATAGGTTAATTTAGAAACACGCCTCTTTGATTTTCTCTTCGCTTTTATCGAAAATTCTAGATGATCAGAAATATTGAAGCTTCATTTATTTGCTTATTTAATTTACTTGTTATAATAAATTTCTCTACTTTTCTCACTTGGGCTTTAGCTTATTCGTAACTATTTATTTTGGGGTCAGAAGTACTTCCTCATTTGCGCATGCGGAAGTAAAAAGMCATCTTCATTTCGACTTTTTCTTTAATTATCTTTTGCGAAGTCGGAAAAAAAAAAAAAACTTTTTACGACTGAGTACCTTTACTAATACCGCAAATAAAAATGAAAACGGCGTTTTAGACGAAAAAGAAAAAGGAAAAAGTCGGAAGCCATCGATCTGTCGTTGATGGCTGGATGTTTAGGGTCATTAAGCACACGTAGAGCTGACAGGAACATTAAAACAGGATGCAAAATAAAAAAAAGTGTGTCAAGGAGAACAGGCGCCAAAACATTTATAATCAACCGTACAATTATTTAGCAAACATGTAGCAAGATTATGTCTTCGATCTTTGTGTTATTCCTACTAAGCTTCAAACTCCCGCAGGGGTCATTTACTTCCAAACCCTTGACAGAATTAAGGAAAAAGTTAACAAACACACTGAACGTATCACAGGTGTTTGTAAGATAAACTTGGTTATATTTATCATGCATCCACTAGCCATTTTTCTGCTTAATCCCACTTGAAAAAAGGTGTCTTCTCGAAGAAGTCAGTCTTCTTCCAGTTTGTTTCATATCGTTTTCAAAGATAAGGGRGTTTCGTTGGGTTTTCTAAGAATTATCGGTAATATTTCTTAAAATCAGGAAATATTTTTTTTGGAAAGAAAAACAGGCTAGTATACTACTAGAGTTAGTAAAAAATATGTAAAAAGATAAATAAATAAATAAAATAAAAATAACTGAAATTTAGCCTTAAGAAACTATAAATGATGGCAAAAAATCTACCAAGTGCCTGGAAATTAATCAGACTAAATTCAACTTAAGTATTCTTTGGGACTTTTATTACATCGTAAAGTCTGGATTAAATTCTTTATTGGCGGCAATTTATATAATATATAAATTTACTAAAAGTGGAGCTCCCAATGGACACAGGGAACCCAATTTAGATRAAACTGAAAGGTGAAAATTAAATCGGGGAAAAAATCTTCAATTATTCTTTCAATTCGAGAGATGAAGATAATG